TGGAACACAGATTCTACTGCCAATTTTTACCAGGGGGTCCATTGCCCTAGTTAGGACTTGAACCATACCCCTTTTTTCCGTGTAGGGCTCCGTTTAGAAAGAGAAAACCTCGGTTACACAGGGTGAACCAAGATTAAATTGCTCGCAGGCTGAGCGTGTACAAGCGTTTTAGCAAAGTGAACTGAAGAGCTTCGGTCCATATTGAACTTGGTCCATATGAGCCAAATTCTTTGGTTCTGTCAACCGAAAGGATGACAAGTTGTTTCGCACGACTGACGGTTAGATCTTCAGAAGCAAAGAGCGTCCACTGAAATAAAGCTCTAGAATACGTGAGGGATTTGCAATTTTTAGTACTGTTTCCATGTTAAATTTCGCGAGAAACACGATAATGCGACTGGTTTTTTCTAAAATGAACTCCCAAGCTCAAAACAAGCTCTCAAAGTAGAGGCCGTGATGGAGGAGATATCCCACGCTGCCCTGAGAGTCCTTTTCTACACCAAGACGAACTCTATGCAAAGATAGGGAGCAAAAATGCATTAGCAGGGCTGCCATGTTTTTAGTTTTATAGTCCCCAAACAAAGTGCCAACCCTGTCGATGTATTTGCTCCCTATCTTTGCGTAGAGAGTTTGTCTTGATATAGAGGCGAATTTTCAGGGTAGCGTAGGATATCCCCTCTATATGACCCCGACTTCGTGAGCTTTATTAGGCTTTGGAGTTGATTTTAGAGAAAACCAGTGGCAGCATCACTTTTCTCGTGAAATTTTTACAATTATGGAATCAGTATTTAAATCGCAAGCTCCGTTATCGGTTCGTATGATCCAGGGTTTTTTTTCATCCAAAAAATAACGGTACGTTTGTTTATTTCTCCTCCAATGAGCAATTACTATCAATCGGATGAGGCTACGAGCTATCGGCCTCTAGTCGGCCTCCTATGGTGTAGTGGTTGTAGCGCTTGCTCTATAATCGGGAGGTCCCGGGTTCGATTCCCGGCCAGGCGCCCCGAGTTTGATGGTCTCAAACAATGGTTGCCTGGGGCTTGTTCAGTAGGGACGGAGGGGGGATGGGACTTAAAGCGTGAGATTAGCCCTTGTGCATGGGCTATTTGAAGTAGTAAAAGAAAAAAAAAAAAAAGAAAAAAAAATCGCGTAGGCTCTTATTTTGTGTCAGTTTCCTCGCTCTCCTTCGCACCTACATAGGAATCGCGTACCCAGTGGCGTGGCGTCCTTTGCGGTAAATCGATTGATCTGCCATTTAACTCCATGGAAAAGGATCGATAGACAGATTGTTCGCAACGATCACCTTAATAATCGATTCTTTACCGTAGCTCCAAATGGGTAGATATCGATCATCGCTCATTCACGCCTCGCCACTGATCTTAAACCTTTCTTATTATCAGTGTAAACCAAATTAGACCTCCTAAAGAAATGAGCTGTTCAAGGATGTGCGACCCTTGACTTTTATCTCTATCGAATAAGGCTCCTTTTCATGCGAACAGAAGCACTGACGTGCTGAGGGAAAACGCCGCATGAACATTCAAGAGTTGTCAAATTTCCTTTAAATAGAAATGTTTAATTTTGAGAAAAGTTGTGAATATTTTTCATCGGAATTTTCAGGAACTTCAGATTAAAATACGAACAAAATTCTCTGAAAAATTGGAAGAAAAATATTCATAAGTTTACCAGGGAATCCGTGTTTTATTGAAGAAAATTTGACAACGCCTGATGGCTCCTACGGCGTCTTAGCACAGCAGAGCCGTAGCGAGGAGTGCTTCGCAATATATCGATTAATCTGCCATTTAAACCTTCGGGGGAAAAAATCGGTTAAGAGGGTGCTCTCAACGATCCTTTTAATAATCGATTCTTTACCAAAGTTTCAAATGGGAAAATGTCGATCGTGGATTATTGAGGCCTCGCCACTGCGCGTAACGTGACGTCCAGTCGCGCCTCCGGTTTCCTAGCTGTCAGCATTTGTCATTCGTGATGATGGCTCACTCGCAATAAATCACAGTGACTAAAAGTCAATCACGGCGCGGCGGGAGAAGAAAGCGATTGCACGGGAAGCGTGATGGAAAGATGGTCGGTATCAATTCCATCGGGCGAGGAAGAAAGTATTTGACCTATTTCCACGAATTGTGAGGGGATGAACAAATGTCACGAAGATGAGCCTCGATCCACGGCGAAAGGTCAATCGCTCCCCTTTTCACGTGGCCAAGCACCTTCGGGCCCCGGCTCCCGCTGTCGCACCGCGCGCCGCAGTGCCAGTGCCGCTAGCTCGTTGACCGGAAAACCGTGTCAGGGAGCCAGAAACCTCGGCTGCTCTGCCGTGATAGCGGAGAGAGCCGTAAGTGCAAAAATGAAGTTTTGAGAAAACGGGCTCAGAAGCTTCTGACCGGAACATTTTATTGAAAGAAGCCTCCGTTCTTTGTCAAATTGCCACTAATCGTCCGGAAGACTCACAGAAATCGTATGGATGATTAAAAATCGACTGATTTTATTTCCATTACATAAAAAGGGTATTTTTCATTTTCATGCTAGGTTATTGTCAGGCAAGACAGCCGTAAGTGCTATCTTCTGCATGCTTTCGTGGTTGCGTTTTGGACGCACAACAAACACATTTTCAGGTTAGAAATTGGCAGAAGAGGGCGGCACTTTACTGGAAAGCACCGTTTTCATTGGCTCTCATGCATCTACGGCTGTCTTGAAAAAAAGCTGTGTCATTTTTTGTGCACTTACGGCTTTTGCATACGTCTCGTTTTCATTAAATTAGGATGAATTTTGCTGTTTTAGCTGTCTCAGTAATTTCATCTGAAAGAGTTTAGACGAATTTTGAAGAAAACTCGATTTCGAAAATTTTGCACTTACGGCTCTCTTCGCTATCACGGAAGTACTGCTCTGCCATGCTAAGGAAGAACTTCGTATAAACCTTTGAGAGCTGCCGAATTTCCTTCGATAAAATGTTTATTTTTGAGGAAAGTTATGAATATCTTCCCTTGAAATTTTCAAGAATTTTAGGTGAAATTGCAAACAACATTGTCTGAAAAACTAGAAGAAAAATATTCAAACATTTACCAGGAAATTCGCGTTTCAATGGAAATTTGGCAACGCCTGAAGGTTCGTGCGGCGTTTTTCCTTAGCACGGCAGTATTCTGCTGTGACAGCGAAGAGAGCCGTAAGTTCAAAAATGAAGGTTTGAGAAGATGATTTCTGTAAGTCTCTCTCGGGTGATTGGTGAGAATTTGATAGAGAACAGAGGCTTTTTTCAATTAAATTTTTCGCTCCGACGTCTGAGCGTCACCAACGTCTGAGCGAAAAATTCAATTGAAAAAAGCCTCTGTTCTCTGTCAAATTCTCACCTATCACCCGAAAGACTTTCAGAAATCATTCATACGATTGAAAATCGACCAATTTTATTTCAATGGAGCTTCTTGCATGCGCGAGGGATTGGCGATATAAGTACTTTTTCTTACATAAAATCTCACGAAAAGTACGATGTTGCCACTGATTTTTTCTGAAATCAACCCCAAAGCTCAAAAAAAGCTCTCAAAGTCGAGACCGTAATGGAGGGGATATCCCACGCTACCCTAAAAGTCCACTTCTGTACCAAGTCGAACTCTCTATGCAAAGAAGAGAAAGCCTTAACTTTGAGAGCTTTTTTGAGCTTTGGAGGTGATTTCAGAGAAAATCAGTGCCACCATCGTGTTTCTCGCAAACTTTTACGTAAGAATCGGTATCTAAATTGAAGACTCTTCACACTTCATGTAGAAAGCAGAGGTAAAAAGGGTATTATTCATTTTCTTACTAGGCTAGTGTTAGGCAATACAGCCGCAAGTGCTTTCTTCTGCATGCCTACGTGGTTGCGTTTTGAACACACAACTACCATATTTTCAGGTCATAAATTGGCAGAGAAGGGCGGCGAATTTTACTTGAAAGCACCGTTTGGCTTTCTGGAAGAATAATGCTACTTACGGCTGTTTTGTTTGAAACCACGTCATTTTTTGCGCTTTTACGGCTTTCTCATAATTATGTCTCGTTTTCATAAGAATAAGACGAATTTTGCTGTTTTAGCTATTTCAGTGATTTAATCTAAAAGAGACTAGACGAAATTTGAAGGAAACTCGATTTCTAAAAATTTGAGACTTATGGCTCTCTTCGTTATCACGGAAGCCCACCAGGAAGAAAGCCACATGCGCCTTCAGACGTTGCCAAATTTCTTCCGATAAAATATGAATTTTTAGAAAAATCTGTGATTAATTTTCCTCAATTTTTTCAGAGAATTTCATTCGCCATCAGATCTAAATTATTTGAAAATTTTTGGAGAAAATATTCATATCTCTCTTTAATATATATATGAGTCGCTTTTATAGCGCTCTTTGGCGCTGTGCGACGCCTAATCGCCACAAAGCTCGGTCTTCCCACAGGTCATCAGGGAGTTGACAATCTCTTATCTCATTTAACACCCCCTGTCGCCAACCTCGCACTGGGCGTCCCCTACGTCTCCTCCCAGGAGGAACCCAATCAAGCATCTTTTTTGGCAGCCTCTCTTCCGTCATCCTATTGACATGACCATACCAAACAAGTTGTTTGGTCATGACGTCGAACACGAAATCATCTCTCTTTAATAATATCTCTCTTTAATAATAGACTTTTTATTGGATGGAATTTAGCAACTCTTGAATGTTCATACGGCGTTTTTCCTTATCAAGGCAGTATTAGGAAGACAGTCGTATGAATGTTCGAGAGTTACTAAATTTCCTTGGATGGGACGTTTATTCTCAAGGATTGTTATGCATATTTTTTCTTAAAACTTTCTGATATTTTAGATTAAATTCCTTATATGTATGTACACAGTCTTGTATATGGGCAAACCCAAACTATCGTATACTTTTTTGCTAATGCGCACATTTTAATTGAATTTAAATAGCCTCAGCTTCATTATTTTGTACTAATTTTTCTTCCTTTCTATTCCAGTTGCTATCTTACGAGCGGTACCTGATTTCCGCGTGCCTTCTACGGATTGTTCTTCCAGCTTGCCTTTTGATATGTGAGTACGCCAGTCTTCTCAATTTTACTTGTTTCATCTCTTTAGTTCTTTGATGCCGATATTTCTGTTGCAGCATTTCAATGTGTCCAATTTCAAAAATCCAAAAAACCAAAACAGTTGGTCAAATAAGGAACTATTTAGAAAGCAAAAAAGATGAGGCCCGAGATGGGAACTTACAACAGGACCGCACGCGTTAAGCGGAAAGGAACCAAGCCATATCAGCTATTGCCAAATTTAATCGGGCCCTTGAATTTTTTACGAGAAAACGGTTGTGCGGATTTTTCTGCAAATTCCAGTGAATTTTTTGCACAACACAAAACAAATTCCTTAAAATTTTCAAAAGAATCCGCACAAACGTTCTCTTGTAAAAAATTAAATCGCCCGGTTAAATTTGGCAATAGCTGGTGTGGCTTGATTCCTTTCTGCCGATCGCGGTCTCTCAAAGTTCAGTTACACGATCAAATTGAGCCATCAAACTGAAGCTCTGATTGGTGGAAAAAGACCTGAGGTGAGGATGCGACCAATGAGAGGCCCAATTCGATGGCTCAATTTGATCGTGTAACTGGATCTTCATGCCAACTACTTCGTCACGGTCCAGCCAAAGTATCACAAGCGCCGTGCGACGTTTTAAAATTTCCACCGCCATCTTATTTTTTTTACAGAGGAATGGTTCGACGAAGCTGTCCGAAAATTTCACTGAATTTTCTTCGTGCTGCCGGTGAAATTCAGTAAAATTTTCAAGCAGATTCAACCGACAATTTGTTCGTAAAAAAATGAAACGGCGGCGGAAATTTTAAACGTCGCATGGCGCTTATGATATTTCCGCCGGAAGGTGACGACTTCAGAATGGAGATGTTGCATGTGTGAGGAGTTTGCGATTTGACTGTTGATTCTTGTGTAAAAGTTGGCGAGAAACACGATGGTGCCACTGGTTTTCTCTGAAATCAACTCCCAAGCTCAAAAAAAGCTCTCAAGTTGAGGCCAAAATGGAGGGGATATCCCACGCTATCCTGAGAGTCCACCTCTACATCAAAACAAACTCTCCATGCAAATATAGAGGGAGCAAATACATTTACAGGGCTGCCACTTCATTTGGGGACTTCAAAACTGAAAACACGGCAACCCTGCTAATGTACTTGCTCCCTATCTTTGCATGGAGAGTTCGTCTTGATGTGGAGGTGGACTCTCAGGATAGCGTGGGATATCCCCTCCATTTTGGCCTCAACTTGAGAGCTTTTTTTGAGCTTGGGAGTGGATTTCAGAGAAAACCAGGGGCATCATCGTGTTTCTCGCGAACTTTTACAGAAGATTCATCAGTCAAATCGCAAATTCCTCACACATGCAACATCTCCGCTGCACAAAAACGCTTGAACCAGTGAGAATATCCAGAAATACGTCATAGACGAATGGCATTCTTTGAACGTCATCGCGGTATAATGTCCTGTTAGCGGAACCCAACACTTTGAGTAAAAGTGGTAGAATAACTTGCCAGAACATGAAGTAATCGCACAATTAGCATTCCGCACCGACATGATCGTCCAGTGATGGATCGGTACGCTCTAGTCGATTGGATCAATTAGGTCATGACCAACAGCTTTAGTGTCGTGGCCGGTGGCGTAGTGAGACTCACCTCCCATTTTTGGCCTGTGCTCCGGCTCCAAATGGCAATAGCCTCTCTTGAGTGTCTGTCGCCATCGCGGAGCATTTTTGCAAGCCTTGACTTTGTTACCTTTTTTTCCTGCGACCAGTATTGTTCTTTTTCTTTACGGCGCGTTCGATTCAATATCGCTTTTGCTTTTTTAGCATCAAGTCTGCGTTCCATCCAAATCTGCGGAAAATGGATGGGACGACGAGAGTTTTTTTCAACAGTCCCCAATCTTCAAGTTTTTAACTTGGTACGAATGCAGCATTCCATACTTATTCCAGCTGTCTGGATTTTTCGTTAAAATCAGTGTTAGTTAGTGGCGGGCGTGCTTCGCGATAAATCGAATGATTTGCCATTTGAACCCTCGAAGGAACGGATGAAAAGGATGTAGATGACTCTCCAGATGAAAGGATGTAATGTAGCCTTTTTCCTTTTCCATAAGGATCGATGAATAGCAGGGTGTTCGCAACGAACACCTTAATAATCGATTCTTTGCCGTAGCTTCAAATGGGGAAACATCGTCGCCTCGGCACTGGTGCTAGTATGAAAAGTTGGCCTCGGCTGCCAGTAACCTCTGGTCAAGTAGACGATGCATACGTTGAAGCGCACTTTACAACAATGCAAGGTGTATTTCGGTAGCTTAGAGTAATCCTTTCCATTTAATTTGATATTTGAAGAGAGTGAAAGAAAAGCCCGGATTTTTATGAGGGGGTTGCCTTCGAAAATTAGGAAAAATCAGGGAACTTGAAAATTCAAGACACCGTGCTGTTTCGTGAACATGTTCGTGTCTCTCTTAAAAAATGCAGGGATGTAGAATGTTTTTAGCCTTCACATTTCTGTCCGCATCAGACTTCTTTCCCTTCACATTGCTGTTTACGTAAGACTGCGCGCTTCATTATTTTCTTTACATGAACACACAGTTATCAGTTTCCTTCGCTGAAAGTAATGCGCTTCAATGTCCCTCCAAAAGAATAACGTGTTTAATAGTTTCATTCACCAAAAGTAGAATAGCCTCCACATTTTTCCCACTTATTTGGTGCTTTCTTTTTTTAAAAACCCCATTTCGGCGGCCTTCACATTTTTATTGCGACCGAACGCGGCCGAATCAATCATTTGATCGCGGAAGTTTTGCAACCTAGTTGCCTGATTATTGAAATTGATAGACAAAGCGATAGACAAAGAAGACATGAGGAGTACGGAGCGATCCTATTGGTTGAAATGGGTGCTTCCTAGATACCAAGGGAGAAAATGATAGACTTACTATAGGTTCTTTCTTGGGTTGCCTTCAGTAAGTCCATTACCAACCTTCCTACCTCCTTTGTCCATTGCAATTACTTGATTCCATCAATCACTCCATTTGTGTCCATCCTTTTTGTCCTCTTTGTCTATAGCTTTACCTATCAATTCCAATAATCGGCCTGCTAAAGATGATTTTCCAACTTGATTCGTAACATTTTGAAAAGGGAACATGAAATGAGGGGCTTGGCGGACAAGGCGCATAAGTGCAGTTTTTGCTATTTCGAGAAATAATTGTTTAACTTTAAAGTTTCAAAGTTACATAGATCCTTATGGCAAAAAGAAAGTTCAAACTGAATTTTTGATGCTTTAACATTGAAATTTGGGAGCCAATTTTTCTCAGATAATGCATTAAGATTATAGTTTTACTTGAAATCATTAATATCTCAATTTTTCAAAAACTGCACTTTTGCGCCTCGTCCTCTAAGCCCCTCAAATGTATAATGATTGAATTCAAACATTTTCTTAGTGCGGTCCACCGAGGGTATGCCATCGAATCGAGAGTTCGGGTGAAACACGCTGCACAAGAAAAGTAATGCAGGAATGTGAGCAATGAAGCGTGAATATTCGGTACTTATGCAACAACTGTCACGTTACCATGTCCATTGTCTCATATTTTTGTCTTGCTTTTCTTTACTGCCCAGTGCCCGTGTCGTAAGTCAGTGCGTTCCCTAGGCGTTGCATTGAGATCATGCAAGGCCGTATGAAGGATTGGAGGTGTCATGAACCCTGATTTAGCACCTCGCAGTAAGATAGAAAAATCCATCGAAAATGATGATTTTTATTCCATGCGTCTCGTATTTTATTCTCCTCCAGGGTTGCCACAGTCAGGGAAACCCGGGAAATGTCAGGGAATTTTAAAAAGTCAGGGAAAACCGGGAAATGTCAGGGGAAATGACGAAAATGACGAATATGTCGGGGAAAATGTGTTAAATGGCCTTCATTTGCTGTCTAGCTTGGGTTTGAGGATTCGAACATCAAATTTTGCCTGAAAACCACTTTCAATTTTGCCTTCTTAGCCATCCGTCACATCTTAAATTGTCAGGGAATTCCACCAAAATGTGTCAGGGAATTTAATTTTCTAAATTCTGTGGCAACCCTGTCCTCTGTTTGCTGGAGAAAAAAAATCTGAAATATCTAAATTAACCCACTGAAACTTAACTGTAAAACTTGCAAAACTTAATTTATGGAAAGGGACCGTACCAGAAATTGCAAAATATACATCCTCATCCATTTTCTAAGGCACTTTCTGGTGACGAGGAATAAGTCGCACCCTATGCTCACACGTGGAGACAGCTTCACTTTACACCCCCGTTTTTCCCGCTTTACACCCCCGTTTTTCCCGCGCGAGGAAACGCCCAACACTTCCTGTTTTTTATCTTTATTGCTTTTGGTCGTCTCTGGATACTTGTTTTACCCTCAACCACCACCAATTCGTCATTTGTTTTACCGAATATAGTCGCTTCGTAACCTCTGAAACGGTTCACAACTGCACGAATATACACTTTCAACAGAAGAAAAGTCAAGGAAGCAGTTTAAAAAAATGATGAAATTTCAATTTTTTCCTTCTTCTTGGGGGATGACAACTAAGGGAGCGAGAAAGTAAAAATATGTGATTTATGCTGTTTTTAAGGGCCGTTCGTATTCTACGCTCGCTAAGATGAACTTCGGATTTTTCGCAAAGTCTTCAGAGCCTTCTTTGAATCAGGATGGATACCTAATCTGCATTGAGAACATTTCCCAGTTAAGAATTCTCTGGCGAGAATTCTCGTTGAGTCAATTATAAATCTCTCGCAAAATACAGGATGTTTCATTGAAATAACAGAAACATTGCTCGAAACAAATGAATATCCTGTTATCTCAGCAAGAATTCTCTTCTGGGAATTATAAATCGGAATTTTGATAATTTCATAGAAAAATTTTCTCCGTGCTCTTACCGATACGACCCTCGCTGCGCTCCCCCAACCCCCGGAAAATTTGGAGCCAGTCCATCCTCCCTGGTTTTGTATTGGTTTAGTATTTTGTCATTTCTTCAAGTCCGCCTTAATTTTTTCCGGAA